AAGCCTGAAATAATGACTCAAGAGACAAAGGGTGTGAATTCCTCTGCCCCCTAGGATGTTTAAATTTGAAGGGTCATTACTGGACTTTAATGTCAATGTGAACCATTTCATTAGCAATCATGTTAGTAGATGGAATGGGATGAGCGTGAAGCACAGGGGACTAGAATTTGGTGTTGCTACAGGAAGGAAAACGCAGAGGAAGAACAAGAAAAAAAGAGAGAAGGACACCCTGGATCCACAGTCTTCCATCACGCATTCAACAGATAGAAATCTTAAAGGTTGTATTAAGAAGGCCAGAAAAGTTTACATAAAAAAATCCATGTGCAATTTTTACATTAAAAATGCAGATCCTGTCTACGTCCTGGAAGATTCCACAGAAGCTGGAGAATAAACAATCAGGAAATCACAAGAAGCTGAATACTAAACAATGAAGGGATGGAATTTTTAGCTACCATTTAATGCTCTGGGCCAGAAGGTAAAAACAGATGCTGGATTCAGGATATACCGTATATACTCGATCATAAGCTGGTTTGTTTATAAGCTGACCCCCCCCCCAAGATGGATAAGTAAAAATGGAAATTTTTTATAACCCTATAATTCAGGGGTCAGCAAACTCGGCTCCTGAGCCATCAGGATAAGCCGCTGGTGGGCCGAGATGGTTTGTTTACCTCGAGTGTCTGCAGGCACGGAGGTAAAACTAAGTAAACAAAAGTGTCCCGGCGTGCCAGCTGGGCCGGGACAGCAACTGGTGGGGAGAAGCTGGGAGTCAGGGGAGTAACCCCTGTGACCACCCCTATGACCCCACCCCTAACCTGGGACCCCCACACTCTCCCCATCCCATCCCTTCCCACCTTATCTGTGGAGGGCCAGGTGAGGATGTCTCTGGCCGGGCTGTAGCTGCTCTGACAGGCTGGGCAGCATGGCTGCAGCCTGCTCCAGCAGGCCAGACCGGGCGGCGCGGCCACAGCGTGTTCCAGCGAGCTGGGCCTGGTGGCTCGGCTGCAGCGTGCTCCAGCGGGCTGGGCCTGGTGGCTCGGCCGCACCGTGCTCCGGCGGCCCGGGTGGCATGGCCACAGTCTGCTCTGGAGGGCGGGGCCGAGCGGCACAGCTGCAGCCTGCCAGCCCCGGAGCTGCAGCTGCTTTGGAGGCTGGGGGGAGAGCAGCGTGGCCAGAAGCGGAGAGACTCTGGCCCTGCCTCTTCCCTTCTGGCTCTGCTGCCTCTCCTTGCTCCCTCTGTTGGGGGGAGGGGCTGTGTCCCACCTCTCCTCCTTCCCCGTTCATAAGCCGACCCCATTCTCTGGTGCTTCTCTTTTTTACTAAAAAAATTTGCCTTATGAACAAGTATATACAGTAAGTTGCCAACTGTCAATTCCCCCCAGGCCGGAGAGATGCGGAAGATAATGACTCAGTTGAGGTACAAACAGTGGAGCCCAGGCCTCACACACTTTTGGTTGAAGGAATAGTGAAGAGTGGAGCAGTGGAAGAGCCACTCAAGCAGGTTCCCTCACCGAGCTTGTGGATTTATCATTAGAAATCCATTTGGTGTTAATGCTCTATGGCCCAACGGAACCATGCTGCTGTCAAGCCAGCTGCACAAAAGCACAGCATCTCACTGGGTGTCTCCTGTGATCTGCTACCGGTAGCTTCAAGGGCCAGAGCCCCAGGCTGTTCTGCAGCAGACACTGCAGTGCCCTAACCCCTCACACAACAAGCATGCTGAAGCAACTCTGAGTTTCCTGCTTCTTTGTGATACACAGAAGAGTAAATGGGGCCCTAAGCAATCCTCAAAAGTGCATTTAATATACTTATGCATGATTGGGGTGCATAGCAGCATGATGTTTAAAGCATAAGCCTCTAAAATATTTCAGAGTTGCATGGGATTTGGCCATATGATGCCCAATAAAGTGAGGGGAATTGGGTTGCTAAATCCCATTCAGCTATTTGAGAACATAAAGGTAGGCTGTTAAGTCTTGCCATTACAAATGCAGGATGAACCCAAACTAGGGGCTGTGGAGGGATCTGACTAGGAAAGCACTGTAGGAATGAAAGCATAAAACCCTATGTGGAGCATGCCTAAGTGTTCAGTATCATGAGGTTTCTTGACCTTTATCTTATAGCTAAATCTCACTGAACAAATGCTTTTCTGGAGTGCTTGCTTACTGTAATACACAAAGGCAGTTCTTTTAATGATGCTTCTGGTATGTAAAACATTTGTAACTTGAAGTCTTTGTATCAAGATTTGAGGACTTCAGTAACTCCAGAGGTTAGGAGTCTATTACAGGAGAGGGTGGGTAAGAGTCTGGGGCCTGCGCTGTGCAGGTCAGACTAGATGATCATGATGGCCCCTTTTGGCCTTAAAGTCTGAGTCTAAGTGCAAGTACTGCTCTACATGCAGAACATTGTTGGACCAACACTGCTTGTCAGTTATCTGTGGGACCACTTTGACATATACCATCAATCCCGGCCTTTAAAGATTTTGGACGTAATCACTCCTCATTGTGCTAACTGAGCTCTACAAATATGGTTAACGACTTGGCCAGGGCAAGTGAAAACAAGCTTCAGGATACAGAGCGAAAACTCATTTTGCACAATTTCAAGCAGCTGAATGATTAGGACTTATAATGCAGGGGTGAGCAGAGTGATTTTTATGGCAGCTGTGAAAAATGCATGTGAAACCCAAATGTGCAAATATAAATACATAGTGTTTTAAACTTGAATATCACCTTCAAAATATCCATGGTTACATCTTAAACTAGAGGACCTGTACCAATGGTGTTAGTACAGTCATTAAATTATTTAATGTTCTAACATGTGTAGAAGCCAGTTCAAGTTTAACTTTGAAAAACTGCATGGAATGGATTTTTTTTGCACAGCTAAGGGGCAATGGATCATATAAAATGTAATTAGTAAGTTTGTCTGCATTTGTGCAGCACATATTTTGTGATCAGAATGACTGTGGTAGGATCACAGGAATCAATACTTTTCAACTTTATATGTTTACTTAGAAAGATCTTGGTACAGTGAATATATAAACTCCATCATTAAGATCAAGTTTTATTTACTGTAACTCATAGGGTCCACTGGGATATCACAGACTCCAACAGCTGGAAGATGTTATAAATCAAAAGCACCAGTTTTTGGAGAGAATACATTATTACAAAAAATTATCTGGGAAGCTGGGCAACCAAGCTATCGCACAGGAAACCAATAAACAATGTAACAACAGAGATAATACACTTTTTCATTGTTTTCTAACTCAGAAGTTTACTTAGCTACCAGCACAATAAAATATTAACGCTAGTCCCCTGAGAACAGAAAGAAACATGATGTTTAAAGATGCGTGGTACAAATCTGTGATTTGCTGCCAATGTTTCAGAAAGGGTTTCCATAAAAATGTTCCCGGTAGCCCAGAAGTGGGCAAACTTTTTGGCCCGAGGGCCATATCTGGGTGGGGAAATTGCATTCAGGGCCATGAATGTAGGGCTGGGGCAGGGGGTTGGGGTGCGGGAGGGAGTGTAGGGGGGCTTGAGGGGGTGTAGTGTGCAGGAAGGGGCTCAAGACAAGGGGTTGGAGCAGAGGAGGGGTATGGAGTGCGGCAGGGAGCTCAGGACAGGTGGTTGGGGTGCAGCAGAGGGTTGGGGGGCAGGGTGCAGGAGGGGGCCGGGCTCTGGTGCCGCTTACCTGGAGCGGCTCTGGGGTGGCAGCGGTGCATACCGGAGCCAGGAAGCAGCCGGCACCATGACCCTGAGGCCCCTGGAGGAGCGGGGGGCGCGGCTCTCGCCTGTGGGTACCTCCCCCAAAGCTCCCATTGGTCAAGGTTTCCTGCCCTCTGCCCCTGCCCGGGGCCACAGGGACATGGTGCCAGCTCCTTCCAGGAGTGGCACGTGGCACCACGGGGGTGGCAATTCCGCAGGCCGGATCTGGCCCACGGGACGTAGTTTGCCCACCCCTGCTGTAGCCTGTGATAAACCTTGTGTCCCAGTGGCGTGTGTACCACAGTGAACAGGCTAGGGAGAAATCTATTCGCTTGAACATAACCAAGAACTAAGGCAGCAAACAAATCATGCTGCACTTTGCTGGAAGTGTTATGCATTTTTCAGAAACAAAATGTGAAACTACAACAGAATTATAGTATAGTGCTCAATTGTACTGTTTGAAGCACAGACTCAAAATTTTAGCAATCTTTTTTAAAATACCTGATATTTGGTGTAACTGGTCAACCCGAAAGCAAAACATTTGCTCTTCAAAACTATTTTTTAGTAACCACAGAGCAAATAATCTCTGTCAGGAATGATACAGCAGCATCTGCAGAGGGCATGAACTCCATCAAAAGCAGAGGAATGACCGTAACGTTCCCTTCAACTTGGTGGTGGAATTTTAACAGGGTGCTCCCAGCAGCCTCCTCTATCACATCACTGATACAGATTCTCCATGAAAGAATAGTATGGAGAGACATTCCTGCTCCACATATTTATTTATCTTGCTAAAATGTATACCTTTGCTGAGTCACTATGATTGGATTGGATTTTCATTTCTGTTTGACCCCCAACCAATGCAATTCTGAGTATGGTCTGATGGAGAAATAGAAGAGACTCAAAAATTCCTCCTTAATTCATTCATTCATTCTTTGTACAGGCACAGCATACCAAAATGTATGATTACAAAACTGTTGATGTTTTGGCAGCACTTGACGCATTTTTAGTCAACATTTCCACTTACACGAGGTTTTGTTTTTGTGCTGCAAGCATATTATGCATAACCACTTCTTCTCATATCTTCCTCAAACATGAAAACGGTTGCTAAAGGAATAATCTAAAAATGCCTTGGGAACAATAAATTATACTTGAGGTAAATATTGAATAAACTTAGCCGTTGTGAAGCCAGGAAGTTTACATTCTCATTTCCCAAGGGTGACTCATGCAACATTCGAGACAATTGTGGCTTGTGTGTGATTCAAGGAATTAGACACACATGCAGTTTTATTGTGTTGAAGCTCTTACCTCTTCTTCTTTGTGATAATGAGGACATCATTGAAGAGGAAGAAGTATACTTGCTGCTTACTGGTCCTTTTAGAGAAGAGTCCAGTGTCTTCCACATATGCTGTTAATTCACCCCTTTTCACTAACCACCGGGACGAGGAGACCAGTGGAAATGGCTACAAAATAAGAAAACATGTTAATCGTAAGTCACAAGCCTTCTGTGAGACAAAGGAGTATCAGGATCACTTGAAAAAATGCATGACTAAACTCAAAACAAAGAAATGAGTATAGGTGTCAAATAGAGACTTCAAGATTCAAAGTAATGTACAATACAGGAGATGCTTGCTAATAGTGGATGCTTTAAAAGTACTGGCTACCTTCACACTGTATCAGCTAAAATCAATTGAAGAATAAACAGAATGTGGAATTGAGCATGCTGTGAAATGGGAGCTAACAACATATTTCTACCTAATGCAGAACTAAGTGAATCTCTTAAGAAGGGCAGAAATAAAATGGTGTTTAAATATTCCCAGACCACAGTCTCTCAAAGCAGAATTAAAGTTACAAACAGAAAATTTACCAGATTAGCAGTTACTAAAATACAAGAGGTCTGAAAGTCAATAAAGTCAGAGCAAAGGTTAAAACAAAAGCAAATGTTGTATCTGAAAGTCAGGAATCAGCAAAACCCGTAGCTATCAACACCTAAACATCAGAAAAAGAACAGTTACTTTCCCTACTACAGGTTTCAGAGTGGCAGCCGTGTTAGTCTGTATCTGCAAAAAGAACAAGAGTACTTGTGGCACCTTAGAGACTAACAAATTTGAGCATAAGCTTTCGTGGGCTACAGCCCACTTCATCAGATGCATAGAATGAAACATATAGTAAGAAGATATATATACATACAGAGAACATGAAAAAGTGGAAGTAGCCATACCAACTGTAAGA